ATTCATAAATCATTTATAAACCATACGGCGATTTCATATCCGTTTGATTGATGTCACATATATGTTAGTTAAAATATTTTAATGGCAAAAATTCGTGAGATTCGTTTGTTATCATTAAAGCAGCAGCTCATCTTATCAATTTTTGGTATGTTTTACTTTTATTTTATTTAGAGATTGTATCACACAAAAGACATAATTTTGCCATCAAATTTTACGCAACAGTTTAACTTGAATAATTTCATGTGAAAATTAAACTTTCTAAAAAATATTTATTAGTATTAAAAATATATCAATTAAGTCAGCACAACAAAGTAAACGTATGTGCAAAGCGTAAAATTCAAAAAAATTAAAAAAAAACAAATTAATAAATAAGAAGTATTGGAAGAATTAATTTGCATACTTAAAAAGAATTTTTTTCTTCACTTCAAAATGTGAATAGAGCAATTTGGAAAAGTTAATAATAATAATAACGTGTGGCGAATGATAAAAATTGTTAAATTGGATTCAAAAATCATTTTCATTTTTACAATGTCCCATGAAGCCGATCGGTTTCGCAGCTTCAGTTAAGCATTTCATCATCATTAACAGCGGAAAAAAAATAAAGATTATATGACGTTGATAAACATTTTGCTGCCTTATCCCGGTATTAATAAAATTTGAATTTTATATTTATTTAATAATTTCTGCCCTTTCGCTTTCTTCCTATTTGAAAGTAGTATGAGGACGGAAAAAAAATTTTTAAACATTGAAATCGGAAACAATTATATCTTCTAACTAATTAGTATAATTTATTTCCCATCTACTATTCTACAATACAAATGGGAATCCATTACAATTAGAAATTATTATCAGTAATAAGTATTAAAATTAAAATAAATTTTATAAACTCATTCTGTTATTATTTCATTTATTTCCCAACAAAAAAAAAAAGAAATCGTTTCAGTAATACTTCTTCGTTTTAGTAATACTTCTTGTCATATTTTATGCATTATATATAAATATCCTATGGCAAACTCAAGATCGATATACTTACAAAACATGTACACAATCATCTCTATTCGATACAGCAAATGTTAGTCAGTAATTTTGTTCAGTTCAAAAAAATCAATGATATTAAATAATTTGAAATTTAAATTTGGAAACTTTTATACTGTGTAGAGAAATTTGAACGACAAACAGTTCTATGCAACATATCCATCATGAGATATTACCGTTCGATTAAACAATAAATTTACATTTGATTATACATTACAATCAAGGAGAATGCTATACATGATCTAAACATATTTAATTAGAGACTTTTTTGATTTATAGTTTAGCGTATCGATGCAAGTGTTATCATCAATAGTGCAATTGAGCCGATTTTTACAGCACAAAACGTTGTTCATCGATCCTCGTTTCATATCAAAAATGCAAGGTTTGTTTACGTGTGAATGGTTTTACCATGCGCGGAGATTTCTTTCAGCAATATTACTTACTTTTATTGAAATAAATTAAATTATAAAATTAAATATGTTATATTTAAAGAGCATCCAATAAATAACATTCAAATTTAATTGTCAAAATAAGCCCTAAATTTATGGAAAGTATTAATAAATAAGAATGAAATCTTCAAAATTAAAACAAAAATGTTTTCAATGCCTTTTATTTGCTAACATTTTGATGTTTGCCTGATAATAATCATGCTATTTGATTCAAAATTTTGTCTATTAAATTTAAAAATATCAAAAATGCTATGACAATTTTTACACTTAAATTCAACTTCTTGAGACAAAATCCATTAATTCCTGAAGATAATAAATTCAAGTGGTTTTTCAGATGTTTACACAGATTTAATTGGTGATAATCAATTATCTATTGGTGAGGAAAATCTTGACGATATCTTGGAGCCCAATACCGTGATGATGGCATTCTTTGACCATGATGGGCTTGATATCGTAGGTATTTCTTATAAAGTAATTGCTGTTTGATTAGCTGTCTTAATACCGTATTAAATAATGAGCAACCACAATTAGTGAGTGAATTGTACAATTAATTAACTCCCTCTATTCCGCTCATTTTGTTAAAGAGGAATGTGATGAATTTGATTTTGTATAAGGATTTAATCAAAGATAAGCCATAAATAAAGCCAGAAATGTGGTCAAGGTCATCATTCAAAAATAAGCCAGAAATATTTAGGGTCATCACTTTAAAATAAGCTAGAAATATGCTTAGGGTCATCATTTAATAATAGGCCAGGAATATGCATAAGGTGATCGCCTAAAAATAAGCCAGAAATATTTGGGGTCATCATTTAATTCAAATTGTAACTTAGCAAGAAATTTTACTGTAAGAATGGATAAGGTTAGTTATTTTCCAAACAGCCAAGTTTTTTTTTTCTTTTTTTTTTTAAACAAATAATTTATCTAATACCTTCCTATTTTCAGCAGTATTTATTGAGAAAACATAATTTATCATGGAAAATAAACGTTGATCAAAGTTTTGAAGTAATCGTTCATGGAATTTCCCATCGATTGATATTGTTTAACCTATCGGAAAGCAAAGATTATATTGAATTCGTTTTGCGTAAAACTAAAAGAATTATCCCAAAGTAAAAATCATTCTTGAATTTGACAAGCCTTTTTTGCATGTTTAAAAGATTTTTTCAATTAAATAATTGCTACTCCTACAATTATTCATAAATTTTGAAATTCTTCTTGAAAGTCTTTATTTATTTCATATGATTATTCATAGAAAAAATCCATAATTATAAGTTTTTTAGCGTTTTTTTTCTGCAGTTCAATAGTCTAAAGCTCTCTGAAATTATTTCAAATTTATAGTACCCTTTAAACATATAATAACATCAATCCATCAATAACACAATTAATGAACATTTTAATGTTAATATTTAAATTTCAGGTTTGCTATTATGAAGTACGAGATACAGAATGAGACTTTAGTAGGTCCAGCAAACTGGACAACATTCGTGTGGACTTTACGGCGTAGTAGATTTATCAGTTGTAGGAAAGATTCTGCAATTCGATTTCGCAAAACCTATCATCAATTCTTCAGCGAAAAACCTAAAATTCCAAATGAAATCATATTGACACTTCAAAGATTCCGCAATTGGGCTATCGAGCGTGGTATGATACCGATGCTCTATGCGGGCACCTTGCTTGGTATTACTATTTCTAGTACAATTTGCATTTAAAAAAAAAAATGGAAGAAAAAACAATTTTAAAAGAGATTGGTTAAGGTTATTTGATGCTAAATATTTATTTGATTCTTAATAACAATCATTGATTTTTAAGATTTAAGTAGAAGTTATAAGCATAAACGTTTAATTTGAGATTTTCTCCTTAATTTTCCCTTTAATATTTTTTCTCTAAGGCCTTTTGAGTTTTGTCCGCAATTTCAATTTAGCAATTTAATAGCAATCGATAAGAGATTTCGCTTTCGCAAGGCTAACTTAATGTAGTTGCTCGCAAGAAATCACATTCAAAAAATTATAAGAAAATTTTCTTTCACATCAAATAATATTTCGCTAATTTTATGAATGTACGAAAATATTTTATCGTTTTGTAAAAATTTAGGTTGGTATCGAGAATGTGGTATTATACCGCATACACACGATATCGATTTTGCGATCTTCATCGAGGAACATTATGATGCATTTCCAGATGATATTATGAACAGTTCGTTTATGGAGCTTAGTCTACGATTTAACAAAGTGAGTTAATAAAATATGAGAAATTGATTAATTGATTAAATGATTGACTGATTGAGAGGATGATATTATTTTCTAATTATATATGCCATTAACAAATATTATTCACAATGCATATTAATCTCGTTTATTCCATTTCAATAATTTAACTTTGAATTTCCTGCAGCCAAAAGATCTATTGGAATATAAAGTTTATATAGAGGAAAATATTCCAATGGATATTTTCTTCATATATCATAATCAAAATAATTCCTGGATTGGTGGTTTATCCAGTTCGATCAAATATAGGCAAGTATTTACTAATCCTTCTTTTAACTCTTTTATCCAATGCAAAAATATACAGCGGAAGGAAGTTTTTTCCTCGATAATTTGTGTCGTGAAAACTTTTCTGCAAATTAACATTTTGCTATGATTTGAGGTTTATTTATCCGTTGATAAATCGGACTTGTGGAACTGATCTCCTTGGTTATTTGATGTATGTACCGTGCAATGCATTAAATATTATTGTGGTAAATTTTACAATTCGAATTGATCTATCATTTTTCAAAAAAAAAAACTGTTTAATTATTCAAAACTAAAACATAATGAATCAAATATTTTCCACTGTAAGAAAGAAATGAAAAAAAAATGACTTAAAGCAGATTTAAAAAAAAAATAAATTTCTTATTTTTAGAGTGAACATGGCAAAAATTGGTTTAAACCGCTTCATTCCTCTAAATATTTATGGAACAAATCCCCACTTAATATAATTGAAATTGGAATTGTTCCTTCCAATGAGATAACTGAATCGTTTATCGATTACAGCAGGTAATTTATTCCAATTAAATAGTCATCAGTTTAGCAGCAAATCAAAAATTTATTCCTTTTTAAATTAACAATGCTTGCATCACAAGAACACCAATCTGCTAAATAGTTTATATTACAGTATGAAAAAGAAAAAACCGATAAAGAAAGCATCGATACAAAACGTGTAACAACGCAAAGTACTTGGACACTATAAATGTTGAATATTTGAAATCGTTAATGAACATTACAAAACGTTACAAGTAATTTGAAAGCGTTGCTCAGAAGAAAGGGCACAACTTTCCGCAGCACATTCCGCATTCCGCATTCTACAAAACCAACTAATGGCACTCTCACATACGGAATGTTTTCGTTTTTATTCATATCAAATTGTCCTTTTTCTTCACAAAAGATAGATTTGTTGATGTGCTCATGTGAAAAAATCGAACCAAAATCTTAAAATTTTGGAGAGGTGCGGTATTTTCCGCAGAAGGGTGAAAATTGAGCTAGAAAGTTTCTTTCTGCAAAAAATAAATGAATTTTTGAGTGAAAATGTCATCATTTGTTATTGCTCATTTTTCTTCATTTTTACCATCTTTTAATGTTAATACTTTCCAATAAAACGATTTAAAAGTGGTCAATACTGGAATAAATAAAAAAACGCTTCAAAAAAAAATTAAAGCTATTAAATAATATGATTGCTGAACGAGGAATAAAAATGAAACTGTTCTCAAAAAATAAGACAATAATTCATTCTAAATTCTAAAGTAATCAAAAATCAATAAACAGAAAAGAGTATATATTATCAGTGATCGTGAAAATAAAAATAAATTCTAAGCCTAATCAAAATTATCATAAAAGATTGTCCGAACAAATTAGTCTAAATCACAATTCGACAATGCATTTTTATTTAGCAAAAAAAAAAAAAACCTACGAAGCTCATTTTCTGTTCAGTTCTTGAACAAAGCACTTATTCCCCATCATTTTCCAATTTCGTCAAAATATGAACTGTCTCAGAAATTTTACTATTACATATTGAGCGACAATTGAATTTTGATCAATTTCATCACGCTTCCATTTAAAAACACAATTGTTAAGTTAGCGTGAATTTAATGGCTTGAGATTAAGTTTTGAAACTGCTCGAGAATTGGTGGAACGATAAATGGGATACGATCGAAATAGTGCAATCATGCTTAATCATTTGGAAATTTGGAATACCATTTCAGACATGACTACGTTTACGACCATACCACGTTGAAAGCACGACATTCCGTGCAATCTGTTAGTTAAGCAACCTCGGGCCTGGTTAGTACTTGGATCGGAAACGGCCTGGGAATCCCAGGTGTTGTAGACAAACACAACATTTTGCATTTTTAGCAACGCTATTTCTGGAGTGCGAATGCGATTATTGTTTGCATCCAACTTTAAGATGATCAAATGTTCCAATTTACAATTTTAGCACCTATGGCTTGAAGTGAAATTTTGGAAACGTTCCAAATCTTAACAAAATAACAAATGCGTTACAAATATAAAAAATATGATGGTCATGAATTTAGTGTATCCTTTTGTATTTGATCATATTTACAATTCATCGATCAATTTAAGCAACATCAGCCTTAATTAGCATAGTAATAATAATTGTCCCTCTTTAATTTTCAAAGTCTCGTCGACTATGCGCAAGAAGAAAACTTTCATGCACATTTAAATTATCAATCAATTGTTAAACTCGAAATCATCAATTTCAATCTGACAATTAACATTTATTTCCTCAACATTCATTTGTATTAATTTAGATTTGTACTATTTTCAAATGTTCTTACTGATTACAATTTTCATGTCATTTAGGCACTTACATTTAGTTCAGTTTTCATATTTATTTTTAATTTTAAATGAATATTAGTTTGCACATGGTCTGCTACCTCTCTAACATTTCTAATAGCTATTGTTGCCTCAATACCTGTCGAATGTTATTTCTAACATTTAGCATGTTAAGCTAACATCATACCCCTAATATCATATCACATGAAAAGCTCAGTTTGCTGATAAAGACGACAAAAGTAGCTTGAATTTATTGATAAAGGGGTAATTCGGTATTCACTCAGTAAAATTTTTTCTCATTCCCTAATTTGAATTCATTTTTTTTTTCATCATTACCTATTTTTAATTTCATTTGCTTCATTCATTTCCTCCAATCGTTAATTAATTCATATTGCAGTCTTTTTTTTCAATTTTCTTTAAAATCAATTCTTCTATTCTCCCCCTATCTCAACAGTAATAACTGTAATTTTGTTAATCGAATACAGGAAAGTTACGAATTTATTCGATGGGACGAAAACTTTAAATAGAAACTAGAAAACGAGATCAATAAAACTTCATTTCAAATACAATGAATGGAAAAAGCTGAGATATAATTGAAGGCAATTCAAGTAAAAATTCAGCTCTTTTTGATTTCCATGCAATAATTCAACCTTTTCTACCAATCCGAGAAATTGAACTTATCGGTCAAGTATTCATCATGTATGAATAAGAATCGAGAAATAATTGTTTGATGATCGAAACCAAACATAGAATTATTATACGAAAGGTGACATATTAGTTCCATTGTTCCGAAGTACCAGTGAAACAGTACCGATATTCTGAGAAGTCGAAATAACAGGTAAGAGAGATTGAGAGAAAACAAAATTGATCAAGAAGGGAAGCCACAACTTTGTCACTATAATCCGTATTTTACAAATAAAACTCGAGCAAACAATGTAAGTAATAACCGGAATGTAATGAATAATGTATATGAAAAACCGGAAAAGGAACTGGAAAGGCATAAAGGATGAGGTACCTTTAGCTTGTTTTCGTCAATTTATCAATTTCAAAGATTCACAATTTTAGATTACCACAAATATTTGCCTGCAAATGATCACAGTTTGTTAAATGAAACTAACAACAAGATAAACCAAAGTAATCAATAAATGATTGATAGCAAAAGAAAAGAAAAAAAAACTAGAAATTTAGCTAATCGATAAACCTATTAACATTTCAAATAAGAATGATATGCGAAAAATATCAATACAAGAAAACAGGATTTGCTTAACAGGAAAAATTGCTTATATAAATATTGGAAAAGGCTAAAAGCTGATCGATAAGCAGTTTACATCATTATTACAATGGACCTGAAATACATTAAAATTAAAATAAAAACAATATTCTGAAATCAAAAAATATAATCATTTATCATCCAGTATAATGTGATAAATGAATCGGTTATTTATCACATTATAATCATTTATTAAAAGCACTTTAAAAAATAAGTCAATTTTAATCATTTCTCACCTCCGAAACAGATTCTTCCATACATAATTTTAAATACTAATTAGTTTTATTTAATATATCTTATTCTTCATTAATGTAATATCAGTTAAGATTATTATTATGACGTTTTACGACATAATAATAATCTCAAAACAAAAGAATTATTTGTTTTTCTATTTAGTATTAATTTTCGAAAAGTCAATAACAAATGAATCAATAACAAATGAAAAATTTACATATTGTAGCCGTTGTTGATTGTGAAGAAAGCGAGCTTGTCTCTTTATTATCATATTGTTCATTAAAATTCCAAAGCTGTGCAAATGTTACTAATGGTAATGTGTTTGATCCTGTTGACATTACCTAAAAAAAATTGAAACTAACGTAGAATTATTTTTATTATTTTTTATTTTCGTTTTATTACTAACTTCAATTATTTCAGTTCTACTATTACTTCTAATCATATTCTCTTTATTTACCCACCTTCAAAATTGAATGATATTTTTTTCCAAGATATTTTATGCAAATTCCTGTCCATGTATTACTTCAAGTTTAAGAAATAGGATTTTGTTTTTGTTCATGTTAGCAGAAATTTCTCATTTCAAAATTATTTTCAAACAGTGTAATCGACCGAAAGAAGACAGTAATAAACATTATCGTTGAATTTTTACAATAATCAGTGTATTTAATTTTTTTCTAACTGATTCTCTTTTTCTTCAGATCCTATTCAATTATTTATCGATTGAAATTTTAAATACCGGAGAAGTGAGAGTAGTATCATTTGTCGTGGTAGATTTTGTTGGTTGAAAATTGGATATTGATGATGGCATGAAGAATTCACTCAATATTTCATTACCATCGGCTACATCATCGAAACACAGCTCACTTGGTCTTACATAAATTGGTATCGGTTCCTTTTTTGAAATTCCTTCACTATTATCATTGGTACCTAATTGTGGATTTAATTCCGCAACCTATAATTTGAATTACTTATTAAAACTTATAAAAAAGAAAATTGAATCGTCAATAATGCTATTAATGATAACACAATAATATAATCTAAATTCACTGTACTTTTAATATATTTTTAGAATGATTATTTTTCTATATTTCGGTTATAGAAGATTAAAAGTAAAATGATACTGTTTCGATAATGGTAACATGTATTGCATATAAAATTTGATAAAAGATATGATGTAAAAAAAAATTAAATCATACAATAATAACGATGACGTATAGCATATACATCATATCTTTTATCAATTTGCATAAAATTTTCTGATTGTAAGAAATTATTTCATTGTATTTAAAAAATTATTTTACTACTTTTAAATGATCAGGAATATTATAGTATACCGTATTCACAGTAATATCCGTTGGTGTACCATAAATGTAACTTGTCGATGGTTGATCGTATAATATATTTGGTAGTGAGGATGATGGTGGTGCTACTGCTGCTATATTGGCCCTTGGAATTATGGTGGATTCATGTGAATTGCTAATATTACCATTGGGACAATTCTAAACATAGAAAAAAATTTGATTACTCGAATTTGCAATTACTTAAATGAATTTTTTAAAAATCATTAATGTTCTGCTTTCAGTAATTTTTATTAGTCATCAAAATAATTTCTGATTATCTGAAATCTTAACATTAATATATATTAGATAAATTCATTTGGAAGATGATTGTATTATTAAATCTCTAATTTGAAACGTATTTAATGACTTAATGATAATTCATTATTTGAGTATAAATAATGTAATGGGATTTAAACAGCAAGTTTTCAAGCATCAAATTACTGGAATTGAAAATATATGCTTTAATAATGCTATCAGTGCTATCACTGATATTCAAAGAACAGACTACTATTATGAATATTTCGTTCGTTAAATTTACTTTATCTTCCTCATGCTTATTGAAATTTTCACGGACAGTTACGACATAGTTTAAATTATTGATTTTTGTTTTTGTTATAATTATTATTACAATTATCTCAAAATTCTGCGAACAAAAAAAAAAGTATACGATACCGAAAACGATTCATAAACAGTGGTGTTTTGTTGCTCAGTTACCGTATGCTTTCTCTGATCAATTGTTTGTCGTGCTGCTAAATAAAAAAATCAAATTTTTGAAAATAAAACTGTCCAGAATGGAGGTTAAATCTCAATTATTGCATAAAATGATTTGAGAAAAATAATGCTTTTTACCGTTACCGTCTACCATTTTCACGCTAAATGACGGTGAATGGCGTGAAATGTTAATCCAACGAAAAGGTTGTGCGGGTGTAACGTTGGGTGACAATGCAGATGTTGATGAAGGTATTCTGAAAACGTAAAATTGAACATAATTTATAAAAACTTGAAAAACTTGTATAATTCAGAATGTTAGGATAACATTAATAAGTGGATTAATGCTCGTTGAAAACAATGTGATCTAAATTATTAAATCCAATTAATCAGTTAATCTGAAGTGAAATTTGTTTCCCGTCCAATGATTTGGAAATTTTTCATATAAACGAAATGATTTTCTTACCAATACTTTGCATGTATTTCATGATTTTTCAAAAATTTTAATTTAATTTCAAGTTCTTTGTCTAAATTAAATTTATGTCATAAAAACTGGAATTTATTAAATACAACATAATCATAATGAGAGCTTCTGTTTAGCTTCTGTTCATGAACACATTGTATAAAGTTACTTTTTTGGAATATTATCAGCCTGACTATTCATTCGGTAAAATGTCATATTCCTTAAAGATATTGATTTTTCACAAAAAAAACGAGAAATATTTACTTACTTCATTAGAATGCATGAATCAATGCTGCTTGTTTCGGATTTTAATTCGGTGTCAAGTGATGATCGTGAATCACCACCAAGTGTTAATGACATCAAATCGGTAGCTGTTGATCGTCTCATTGAATCATAACCTTCATCATCCATTTCATGCATTCCATCTGTTTCCATTGGTCCGCTACTGCATTCCAATGCTGTATTGATGGATTCCATGTAAAATGTTGCAATTTCAAGTGTCAAAATAATCATCATCGTTTGATAAAGTCTTTAATTTTAATTACTTTTTTCCAAATTTCACTTACTTCATAATTTTTATTTTACAAATTGATTGAATTAGGAGAAAAAAAGAGCTATTTATTTTACCTTCCTTTTTCGGAATTTCTTTGAACTGTGAAGCTAATGAATGAATTTCATTAATAATACGATGTAAGCGTAATGAAAGCCCTCCGTCAGTATGTGCTAAAATATCCAATGATTGTTTAGCATTTCTCAGAGCACACCACGCTTCTTTCTCGCGAATAATACTACCCGCAGCAGAATTGGTTAACAATGTCGAATTATTTGAAAAACCTGCAAATGTTTAATCGTTTTTTCAATTCAACATTTTCTTGAATTTTATTAGTAAATCGCAAATTATAAATTATCATCTCTGAAATGTATAAATATCGATCTTTTTTTATAACTTCAAATTATTAACCGTTTTACTGCAAAATTATGCGATCTTATCTGTCATATCAATAATGGCAATACAGATTTAACAATATAAAATGATGGAAATTCTGTTCAATTCAAAAAAAAAAAAAAAACAATTTCCTGATCGCAAAAAAAGATACGTCTCGATCAGTTATTAATTAATTAAACGGAATATTTTTAACCGTTAACATTGTCAACCCCTTTGGTTCTGAGGTGTTACTATTATCAGTGTATAACGCTGCATTGCACTATTAAAAACAGGTAATTAATTCCCAACTATTTTAACAACTTGACTGTTAGCGATGATGTTAGTGATTGTGACAATTACTGAAATGATGATTAATGACAATGACTAATTATGATAATGACTAATTAACGACTGCAATAAGCAAGTCAAACACATATAAACATACCGTCAAAATCATCCCTAAAAGTGGTAGGAAATCCTTGTAATGCATCCATTTCTTGTTTATTAAAATGATCAGGAAATGCTTCCTGCAACAGATAGTAATAATAATATATGAAGAAGAAAAAGGCATTTTGTATTGAAAAAAAATTCCAATAAACTATTATTTCAGGAAATTGAGATTACCTTGAGTTGTCTGGTAGCATTGGTTGTTGGTGCAACACTCATAAATCTTCCGTCGCCAAAACCTTGACGTAATAACATATTGCACTCACGTGCTAACGTACGAGGTGATCGGAATGTTTGACATTTCTTTTTCATACAACGATATGCTGGATACTCCTAAATAAAGGAAAAAAATGTGAAAAATTTAAAGAAAATGTAAAAATTAAATTCAATATTTATGTGATATTCTAAAAAAATAATTTAAAATATTTCTTCTATTTCTCTGATCTACACAGTAATAAGTTTAAAAAAAGCAAATATGAATGTAAATGCATAAACAATACTGTAAACTCCTTGTGCTACATAGAATGAAATTTCAAAAATTGTCTACAATTCTAGATTTTATGCCAAATTTTCAGAATAAATCATTATTTTTTGAAATTTTACTTTATATGCAAAACAAAGAGCATCATACGTTTATTACCTTTACAGTATTTAAGTATTTTACGCGACGCATGAAAAATTTCATCGATGAACCGCAACGATGGCATGGTATACATTTTTTGGTACACATCAATTGCAAATCATCAGCAGGATCCATACGACGTAATATACCTTCTTCTGATTGTCCTCAATAATAAATTCATTCAAATTGAAAATTATATTGTTTCAGTTTCTTATTTAGAAATTCAATTTGAATTAAAAAGCTTTTTGACCACTTAGTTATTATAAAAAATATAGTCATATATGTGTTACTAATATTGAGATTCACAGAACATCACTTTATGCTTAATAAAGAATCCATATGATTTCGAAACATTCTGAAAAATCAAATTAAATAAGCCTAAAGACAATTAAATAAGTTAAATGAAATAAGCCTATAATACATCAGAAAAATTTTATATTATATGAAATAATCTAATATATCGCAACGACAAACCTGCCATCAGTTCTTTCGAAACATATGAACAATATTCAGCTAATCTATTTCAAATTTTAATGCATTTTAAGATACTTCTAATTTTCAAAAATGGCTATTTTGGTAAATAATGCATAACGTAATGCGTCAAACTGAATTAATTTTTTTTTATTAATTCGCGAATTAACTCTTTTGTGTCATGTTAAAAGATTACCAGATGTTAAACGTTGCAAGATCATTTTTGTCAAAAATCTTAACCACCAATTCTTTTAGACTACGTAAATTCATTTATGCATACAATATCTTTATAAATAATGTTCGAATACATGAACCACGTGAACTATTGAACGATATTAACAATAACTGTTAAAATTGTGAAACAAGTAAGAGCAATAATGAAGCGTTTGCAATCATATTAGTTGCTCAATTTTATTTATCAAATTATTGTAAATAGTCCAGTAAAGTCTTATTTTTACCTATTATGCAATTATAATTAATATATTATACCCATCTGCATCGATGATTAGCCAAATTACGGTGTAGTGGCATAAGTTTGATAATGCACCCAATTTCTTGTAGTAATTTTTTCGTCTTTAATTGAAAGGCATTTTATAAGAAAGCTAATTAAATAAACCTTTAAATGGTAATAATTGAGTTGTTGATGATGCTGATGAGATAGGATTGATTGCAGTTGTATTAACGACAGTTGATGAAACAGCATCCATTTCTTCTTTTTTGGGAAATGTTTTATTGGTATTTCTTTGCAAGCAACGAGAATCATTAATTTCTTCCTAAAACGAAACGAAAATTATTTGTAATAATTAACTGATAATTTCTGGAAAAATCCAAAAAATAAAATTAGGCTCAATAAGTTAGTCATTGTAATTGTTGAATAAACAAATTAATTCAGCTACTGATATTATTATTTTGCAGTTCAAATTAACAAAAATTTTTTGCATATAATCTTTTTTTCAAATTGAAACCATAAAATAATAATTCCATTTTTCTTATCTTTTTATCACCCTTACAGATAAAATTACATCTTCCACTTCTTCCTTTCATCCAAATAGGATGTGACAATTCCTTATCTTACCATAATTTCTTGCTTGATAACCTGTATTACACCTTGCCTTCCCATTATCCTACTACTGTAATTATTCGAACAATAACCATCGTTTTTGTTTTGTCGTAAGAATTTCAATGAATTTGAATACCAAATACCAAACTCTTTAATGATATTCCAATCGATTATTGCATTAAAACTCAAATGGCATAAAAAAGAAATAGGTCGTTCAAAAAGTTTATAAAATAATGATAAAACAAAATGTGTCAGGTACAGCATGCAAAAAATGATTTAATGGAAGTATTAATATGAGAGTGCTAAAGTTAATTTGTAAACGATTTCAATGGTTTTATCATCGTTTTAGCATTCATAATCATGAAAAGTAAGGGATAGACATTTCAAGGTGTAATTAAATATGATTTAAAATAGATAAGACTAAGATGATCTTCATATTACTTTCATTTTTATTCTCACATCATAAAACTCTCATCGAATGGAGACCGATGTATCCTAAAAATTGCACTGAAAGTAATATGCAGACTTTCATTAAAATGATTTGCAAAATTTTTTTTATCACCTCATAATCACAAATCATTTCAAACTTTCCAAATTTTTTTCCTATTCTAACGAATTTGCTACAATTTATCAACAAAAATCAAATAAAAGGATACCGGCACCTATCAATAAATCTTTTTAGCATAAAATTATCCAAAAAAAAAAGAAAAAAAGAACACTTTATCAAAATTAATTCAAACTATTTTCATGAATTTTAATTTAAAATTTTGCACTAAAAATACTTTACGATAATTTAGTAGGTTGAAAGGAATTTATTAATAATAAATTACACGCTAATCTCAATTATCAAATTACTATCATACAAATTCATTAGCATCCTATACAATAACTCTTTTCAGCATAAAATTATCCAAAAAAAAAAAATCTATCAAAATTAATTCAAACTATTTGGACGAATTTCTTTTTAAATAAAATGTTTGGAGTAATTTAGTAAAAGAAATAAGTTACTAATTAAGTAATACATTAAATGGATTAACCGATTATAAAACAATCATTTACATTTAGGCAAAAAAGAAAAAATGATATATGTCTGGTTGGGTAACTTTGCCAACATCTCTTCACACGCGCATCAATGAACTTGCTCAACTGGATAACAATGATTCTTTACCATCTTACTGTCTGAAAAAGAAAAAAAAAAAAGAAAACATTCTATTCCTCCTAACTATACTATACCTATACCTATAAATCTATATATTTGTATATATTTATATATTTATATGTATACATATAGATATAAAAGAAGAATGAAAGTAGAGAATAGGAGAAATGAATGAGAAAAGTGAGTGTGTTAATATTACACATACACAGACATACATACAGAAAAAAGTAACAAAAAAGGAAAAAAAAAAATGTTTGCCACTTATTCTCACGCAAATAATACGTTTCTTTTTCTTTTTTTTTTTTTTGTTTCTTAAAAATTTAAAATTGTATACTTTATTTGGCAAAAATTCACTCATTACAATGTAAGATAATAAACATTCAAATTTATCATTTTATTTAAAGTTATAATTGAACAAAATTTTTTGCTTTATTTAAAGTTATAATTGTTAATTTTTATCATTTCTTTGAATTTATTGAGGATGAAAAAGGAGAAAAATTGATATCTGATTTCATTTACTGGTATAGTATAGAGTTGCGAACAAATTTTAACAAAAAAAATTTTTTTTTGTTTCTATAAATTTTGCATTGGTCTGTGATGACATTGATAAAAGAATGTAATAGTTGAAATTTACTTCATTTTTACTCTTATCATAATTGTTGCACGATCGGCTGTTAAACGAACTAATGAGCCGGAGGAGTACAGTAAGTTTATTAATTTGAAATTTATTTTGGTAATTTTTAAATTTAATTTATTCTGTTCACTTCTTGCGAATAACGGTAGAAATATGTTTTGTGTGTGTGTGTGTGTGTGTGTGTGTGTGTTTGTGTGTGTGCAAATCAAATAAGCTTATTGATAACAACTTGTAATTAAAATTAGTGTTGTTTAAGTAAATTGAAGTTTATGCTCAAGCTAACAACAATTCCTGTAGATAATGTAAAAAATAGAAACTTGTTATATTGTTAAATATTTGCTAAAGAAAACAAAATCGTTTTGAAAAAAAAAATCAAAAATCTTTGGAATGATCTGTTTCTTTTTGATATTAATAATCGATGTCTACGGAAATTCTATCATTTAAAATTCAATTAATTTGAATCAATTACTGAATTGTTAAAGGCTGTAACCAAGTTTCAAGAAAAAATTAACAAGCAAGCAAAATGCACTGAATGATTAACTAAATTAAATGAATGATTTTATATGCGTGCGTAAACTGTGATACAGAAATGCTAATACAAAAAAAAAATAAATATAAAAATTGAAAACAGGAAAAAAATCGAGGTACTCTATAACTGAATGAACTGAAATTGGAATTTACATTCCAAAAGTAATCCAATATTTTTCTTTAGTAATTCTGTTATGAAGGAAATCAGAATTACACACATAGATAATTTCAATCCATCAATTTTACGCCAAATCAATACCAATTATTTTTACCAATTATTTTTTCACGGAAATATCCCGTATAACGGAGTGAATTTCAGGATGAAACGTTGGAAAAAAATCATGATGCATATCGAAATGCTAAAAAAATCAAGCATAAATTTTATCAAAAAAGAAGTCATAGGGTTGTTAGTTAATTTAATTTTTGTATAAAGCTTACATAATTCTTATATTATAGTTATAGCATAAGCTTGATCTATTTTTGCATTCTTTTGGCATTCCGGTAACAAAATACCGTTATTTGCTTCACCTTAAAAAATTGAAAATCTCTGTGAAATTCATAAAAGACAAAGTAAAATATTTATGATATTTTTAATAGAATCATGAACCATCCCATCTGGTACGTGTACCCCATCCGAGCAATCGTTTCAGGTATTGTTTTAATCAAGATTTTAACAAAATAAACAAACAATTGTTAAATTTCAAAATTATTTCTGACTAGTTTTTTTCTTCTCACCTTATCTCTCTACTTATCCAGTCTAACCGGACATGAAAATGTATTACTCGAAATCAGCAGAATTTATAGAATTGAGTTAATTGGTTCCATGTACGATTACACTATCCATATTTTGCCATAACAAACATTTTTTCAAAACAATCCCTATTTTTTTGTGTGTTTTTTTTCCTCAAACTAAAACTAGAGCGTTAAAATTTTCTAATTACTAAAATTCCTTGCATTTTAGTAATACGATTGTTTCACACGTTCTTTATTATGATTTCACAACAAAGATTATCAATAAATGAAGTTATTAACAATTTGATTGTATGTAACAGAGATTGTAGAGAACGAGAGTTGATAAAAATTAAGCATCAGACAACAAAATCTTTTCCCGCTCGACGACAACGCTCAACAACCTCTTCAGAAGCAACTTTTTCCACTATTACTGTAATTTGCTTCTCATTTAAAAAGAAATATATATTTCATACGTACTTCTTTTCCAAAAAAAATATTAGTCCCAAAAATTTATTTCCATTTCCTCAAATATAAAATAATTTTTCTTGCATGGAAATATTTTTTATTTAACCATAGCGAATGAGGAAATTGAAATAATTATTTAAAACTCGTACAAAGGCTTAATTTTATTTTTTTGTACTTATTTTAGTTTACACGAAAATTCTTTTTATTTGTTAATTTATAATCATAATATATTATAATTTTGAACAGAGACGTGATGAAACGGAAAC